CCTCGCACCCGCCAACACAGATACGAAGCTGAAAAGTAATTTTATGCTGGATATTAGCTCAAGCAGGAAGTTATCACTTTAATAACTATAAACATCCATTTGCTTGCTTCGTTACACAGCATTAAAGCTGGGCAGATCATTTACAACGAGCTCGTTAGAAATGCTCCGTGCGCCAAGATGAGTGGCTGTTACTGCTAGGCACACAAGAGACCAGGAAGGAGGGGGGAAGCTTCCCAGTATGTCAGTGCCACACTTCTGCTTGGAATACCTGGAACTGCTCCTCTGGTGATCTGAAAACATTACTACTTGTTCACATAGGACTATGAACTCCCGGGCTGTATCAGTTAGACCACAGGTGTGCAACATTTTGGCTCACCTGGGCCGCACTGAGCGAGGAGGAATTGTACAGACCTCGTATAAAACATATGCTATAGTTAATGTATATACACAGCAATTATTTTTTTTTTAATGTAAAAAAGAGGACAACAAAAGCATCAAACCATTGAGTTGGACACTTACAATGCTAAAAAGACACACGAGGCAAGTTGCCACCCAGTGTACCACCATCACAGCCCCAGAAGCCCAGACACAGAACAGGACAGGCCTCAGCTCTCCATTCAATTATTTGTTAGGAACAAATTTCCCCATCCCCCCAGTGTTCCCCCAGACAAAGCAGTGGGGAGGGCAGCACTCCAGCACAGCCAGCAGCCTTCGCTCCTCTGCTGCAGAAGAAAAACCCTTTGTTTCCCCCCAAAAATACTGTCAAAATAACTGAGTAATTGTTGTTATGAAAATGTGTTTTGTATCAGCAGAATTCACTAATGAAGCAAGCTGACAGACACATGAAGGAGCATGCGGAAAGCTCTGGCACTGAGAGGTGTTTTGAACACACAACGTTGCTTGGCCGCTAAGTTACTGATAGGAAAAATACTTAGTCACTTCCCAGCTGTTCCATGGCAGGCTGAACCATTAAATGTAAACCATTAAATAATTCTGAAAGGAAGAGAACAGGTGGCAAATGGCTTATATGGCAGATGGTGTCTTTTTTAATATTTGTACTGGCTGCTAATTTACAGAGTCCATAACTGCACGCTCATACCTTACCTTTTCCATTTGAATAATCAAGAAATGGGATGTGAAAAAAATAAATCCCCTTGCCCCTAATACAGTAGCCATAAAAAAGACATTTGAGATTACCAGCCATCCCATACCTGAAGCACCAAATAACTCTACATGCTAGGATTTTATTGTCTTTTTTTTTTTTCCTAAGAGAGAGTCCTCTTTGAAGCCTTGGCTTGATAGCACTGGAAAATTAAGTTCTCTTCTTACCAGCAGAGCAAATGAGCACAAGGATGCAGCACAGATCGCTGCATAGCTGCTTTCCACAAGCTTTTATTTGGTCTTTATGTTAACGCTGGCACAAAACCCACGTTAACAGCAAGAATGGCATTAAATATTTAAACAGAACGTACGAGCAGAACCACCAAGAGATAGAAAAGGAGAAGAGGAAGAAAGGAAGAACTAACCTAAAGCTGAGCTCCGGTAGCATTTCTGGACTGTTCTCCATGTTTGCTCACTGATGTTAAACCACCTGCCCCAACGTGCAGCAGAAACCACAGAAACACTCTGCTCAGGTTTTTCACCATGACGACGACCAGAGCTCTGCAAAGCAGCTCCACACGTGCAGAGTGCAGACAATTTACTCAATGCTACCAGGTTCTCCAAGCAAGGAGAAACAGAAATGCCACTGAACAAAAGAACTGAAGCCCAGAGCTCTCCGGGATGCCAAACGTACCACCTTGTTGGCTTCACCCTGCTGGCTTTATCTGCTCCCAGGTAGCTCTTTACCCAGGGATTAGGAGCTTTCTGGCAGTGAGCATCTGGCACTTTTTATCTGTGCTCCCAAACCCAGAATGGGACATTGGCCACCACTGGCTTTGGCTGGAATTCCCTTTCACCACTTCAAGTAAAGTGGGGCCAAGCAGTCATTCTGTCACAGCAGAAGTCCCTAACAATTGCAACTTTAACTGCTTCCAGAAGATATTCAGGACATCCATCATTAGAAGCTGGCAAAGTCACCCTTTCCTTTGGTACTGCTTTTAGGACAGAAGCCTGCACTGTGGCAGACAGCAAACAGAGCAATGCATCCAACACCTCTGAAACACATCAGACTGTACCACAGGACTTGTCTGGTGTGGTTTGAGGCAGGAAGGAGAACATGGGGAGGCTGCCCTGTACACTGCAGCTGCTGAGAGGCACGCAGCAGTGGTGGTGGAGTTGGTGTGACTTGGAGAAGAATGGTCAGTGGCCAAAGGCAGCTCAGAGCTCTGCTTCACTATTGCTGTATAAGTTAATGACTGGGGAAGCCTCAAGAAAGCAGAATTTAATGTACAGAAAATGCCAGGCATACAGCGTGCTTTAAACCCTGCCTCCCCTTCAGCTAAAAGCATCATCGTCACGCTGACATTATTAAAGACGACTCATGGATCTCGAAGAAAAACAGATCTGTGAGAGAGCATTATCTGCAGACCCTGGGGCGGCTGCATTCCTCTTGCTTCATGTATGATTTATAGACTAACCCAGTAATTAATGAGCTTCCCATGTTCTCCTTGTTGAAAGTTTATGCGAGATAATGTTCTTAGAGTCATAGAACCACAGAATCACTCAGGCTGGAAAAGCGCTCTGAGACCCCCACCGTGCCCACAGCCCACATCCCTCGGTGCTGCATCCCTGCAGCTCTGAACGCCTCTGTGGATGGGGACTGTCCACCCCTGGGCAGCTGTGCCAGTGCCTGGCTGCTCTCTGGAGCAGGCTGTGATACCAACCTGACCACCAACCAGTCCTTCCCTCCAAGTAACACCAACTCCATCACCCTCTGCTGCGCATCTCCCAGCAGCTTGCACAGCAAGCCTCCCCGCTCCACTCTGTGCTAAGGACTCACCCCACACATCTTTCTTTTTACTCACACCTATCCCAATTCTGATTTGTTCATTAGAGCTCATGAAAACTCCCATTCATTACTTTCCTTTTTTCCCAGTTCCCAGGTCTCGCCGCCATCCTCAGTGCTCCGCCGCTCAGGAAGCTTTCCATCAAGCTCGTGTTGACAAAGATAATTTAAAGTGAGCACCTCAGAGTCCTCTTCACCGTGAGCACAATAAAAAGGAGTTTCATAAAAATGTTTTATGTAAGCCTTTGCAAAGGAAATAGCCAGCCCTCCAGAGAGGATGATTAATAGAGAAAAATGGTTAGCTGAATCTCGAGTTTATTTTATATGTGCCGGGCATTTCCAAGCTTTCTTTCCTAAAAAGCTGCTATATATTCCGTAGGAGAACACACCCAGAAGCGTGTGCTGTACTGTGAATGATTGATAATGGGCTGATTGCTTGGGCACTCACAGCATGGTAGTTGATAGCCTATCACACAGTCATTCGAAAGGAAAGCAACAATTATCATGGCCTGACATGTTTATCACAGCAGAACCAAGCCACTTATCTTAACTCTATAGCTCCTTGATATTATAATATTCTATCGTGCCTAATACAATTCATGCAGGGCTCAGTGCTGCAGCTGTAAATCAGAAGTCCTGCAACTGCTTCTCCCAGGAATGCCCGAGCATCTCAATTCAAGGAAGAATACATCTAGCATCTAAATCTGTATTTCAGCACGGATAAAGAACAACTCTCTTATCCTCCAATTCTCCTATAAGATGCTCATTTTCAGAGGGGTGAAGTGATCACTGTGGGTCAGAAAATATCCCATGGGAAGCCCTCAGCTCCCCTCCCCATGGCAGCACCTACAGAGCTCTGTGCTCTGCTGGCAGGATGGTCCTTTGTAACAGCTGGGAGACCGTATCCCTGCGGGGACATGAGCTCTTCACACCCTATAGCCCTTCCACAGTAGCCGTTTCTATCTGCACCATTATGATGGCTGCTCAACAGGAACGATAATTACAGAGATCCATTTCTCATGTGAAGATTTCATCTGAACACCCAATATCGTAACTGCATACTTCCTGCCAATTTCAATCTCGCTGCGTTGTGCTGCGTTACACTTCAAGTACCAAAAAGATGGAAAAGGTGCCAAAAATACATTTTTAAACTCAATTGGAATACCGTGTTTCAAAAATATAGCCTTAAGCACCCAAAGCACAAATAGCTCCAAAAATGACCACGAAGACCGAGAAGAGGAGACTCACACAGCAGGGTGATGCTGCAGAGCCCCCCAGGTACCACATGCAGTGCCATGCAGAGGAAACAGCAGGTTTTGCAGTGAGCAACCACAGGCACATCACCCACACCCAAACCTGTAAGGAAGCGTGCAGAACCCAAGGCTACGTTCCTCTAGCAGGTTTTGTAAGGAAGCAATCTGCTTCTGTCCCAAACGTTACCACTGAGCTCTGCTCGCTGGTGACAGTGACAGCATCTGAGCACAGAGCTGTGGCAGGGGAAGGTTGGTTGGGTTAGGAGAGGACTGTGCTCCAGAGGCAGTGGGCACAGCTCCAAGCTGCTGGAGCTCAGCAAGCACTGGGACACCGCTCTCAGCCATGGGGTCTGAGGTTCGTTGCTGCTATGTGGGACATGGGCTGGACTCGGTGACACCTGGGGTTCCTTTCAACTCAGGTTGATCTGCCATTCTGTCCCTTTATGTCAAACAGACATCTTTCGACTGCCAACATTGCAGCCAGCCCATTGGCACACAGTCCCAGCGCCATTAGGACCACATTTCCTTCCCAAAGGTGACAGAGGATGCAGCTCAGTTCACATACTGCCCACAACTGTCCCAGTATACCAAAAGATTGCCAACGAGCACAAACTTTTAACGCATGCTATCAGAGAACACCTTTAAGCAGTACCAGAGAAAACAATTTAAGCCCAGGTGCGTGTGCTCACACAGCAGCTGTGTGCTTGCAGCTACCAAAGCACAGCAGCAGAACGCACAGAGGCTGTCTGTGCTGCAGAGCACACGGTGCTGCTTCTCCACACCGACCCAAACGACCTTACCTGGGAATGGGGAGCCCAGCACTGGGATCCTGAGGGGTGAGAGGGTGAGCAGGCGGCACTGTGGGATGCTGGATGGGGGTGGTCCTGGGGGGGCTTCGGCCTCCACTGCCAGCAGCGCCAGGCTTGGAGGGCTGCCCACTGGGCTGGGACCACGCCGGCAGCCACCTGCAGAAAGAGATGCAATCGCTTCATTGGGATGGATGTAAGGATGCTTCCAGCATTCTGAATTAAAGGCAGCACAAACACACAGAACATTCTTAACCTTGCCTCCAACATCACGAGATAGGACTGCAGAACGGCTGAGGTTGGAAGGGACCTTAATGAACATCTGCTTCTAATAAGATGTTGCACTTTGAAAATGCTTCCAATGTCTCACAAAGCCATGCTAATTTCTTTAGGAAGCACTCATAGCAGCACCACTGGTGGTTGGACTTAATGACCTTGAGGGTATTTTCCAAACTTAAGACTCTATAAAAAGGAAGCTGTGTTTCATGCAGTGCCTTTGGCAAGGCCATAGTGCTGGCACCATGGCCCCAGCCCTTCTTGCTGTTATTCTTCCAGAGCTCTGAGCTTTAAACCCTAGGTGTGAGAACACAGCCTTGCAACCTGAAGGGACAACACAAGGCAATATTGAGTGATGTATAAGCTGCACAGAGTTGTTAAATTTAAATGATAAAAACCTCAATAATAGAAGAAGCCAAGCAGTTGAACGTATTGATCTGTATTCACTTCATCTGTCATGGTTCATAACGATGCACAAACACCCATATCTGACTTTTCACAGAATCACAGAATCACCCGGGTTGGAAGGGACCCCAAGGATCATGTAGTTCCAACCCCCCTGCCTAGCAGGGCCACCAAACATACACATTCAGATCAGGTTGCCCAGGACCCCGTCCAACCTGGCCTTAAACACGTCCAAGGACGGGGCATCAACTTTTGCTAAATAAAAGCTGTCTGATTTTAGATCTGAATGTTTGTGTTGCCCATTACATTAACCAGACATCAGTGTTACCAGCTGGACTGCTGCCCTGCTCTGTGCATGCAAACAGCTAAGCTGTACAACCTTCATATGCAGGTGCCTTCACCTTGAGCACACACCATGCAGAAACTTCATACGATCATAGAATGGCTCAGGTTGGAAAGGGCTTCAGTGCCCTCTGAATGAAGAATTTCCTCCGAACAGCCAACCTACATCTCCCCTCTTTCAGTTTAAATCCTTCCCCCTTTGTCCTGCACTATAAGACTGCCTTGAGCAGGAACTCAGCAGCTGCCCACAAAACGCAGGCTCAAACTCACTTCTGACTACATAACATTTACCTTGATGTCTGAGAAGCATAAGGGGAAGACCTTTGGAGCTCAAACTTGGCTAAATATCTTAAATAAACAAGAAAATGAGCAGTAGAAAGTCTTAAGGAAAAACCTCATTTGACAAACACCAGCTGTTACTCCCTCTACACTGAGCTATGTATTCAAAAATTAAGCAATCATTAGCTTATTATGTTATTTAGCAAATGTTTTCAGCTCATGTGGAAACCCTTCAGGCACTGAGAGCCAACTGTAGCCGAGCACAAATCCCTGCTTGATCACAGCAGACATTTCCTCAATCTGTTGGGTTTCCCTCACCTCTGCATCACTGCCGAGCCAGTGCCTGGCCCTGGGGGGCTCAGAAGGCACCAAGGGGCCTCACTGCCAGCTCAGCAGCAATGACTGTCCCCTAGAGAAGCCCCACCATTGCCCCACTCTGGACAGGGGACACAACCCAGCCCCACGCATCTCCATGGCCAGGTGCTCTGTGTGGGCCTTCAGACACCTGGATGCTCTTGCTGCCAAACGTTCCTGCTCTCAGCTCTGGGGTAGGGGAAAGACGTTCCGTGCTTTAGGAAAGGAAATTGTTCCACTTACAGCTAATTGGGGCTCTTGAGGCTATTCTCTTCAATTTCAGCAGCTCTGCTTCTCAATCTTACAATAAACAATTATTTGCCAACAAAATAAGCCCTCCGTCTTAGCAAAACAGAAGTCAAATATTTCCAGTAAGCAGTATTAAAAAGCTCCATTATTACTACTGGATATCAGCTCCAAGAGAAATCCATTTCAATACTTGTATGAGCACTAATATATCAGGCACGCAGGCAAAGAAACACCAACAAACAATATCAACATCTTATTCATTCCACCGTGGATAGATGAAAAATAGGTTACTCTCCCAAAGTTGCAATGAAAATCTCCAAAGACCTCATGGTCTGATTACTTGGACTGTTTTGATGATTGTTGCATTCATTCACCTGAGAACAACCACAGGTGTTGGTTGGGTTCCACATTCCAACTGCACGAGATCACTGCCTGCAACCCAGCCACCTTCAGTGGGAGCAACCAATTGAACTCTTTCTGCAACACTTGGAAAACAAACGTTGCAAGGAGAATTACTTTCCTGCCAGCCTCCTGTAGGGTACATGAGCAGAAAGGTTGTTTGCTTCTCCACTGATTCTTCTTTTGGGGAACACGCATGTCTCCCATAGAGCTGAGCAAAGCAACAAAGCAACAGAATCCTGCATTGCCAAAACTGAGTAGAACTCCTGGAGCTAGCAGGCCATCCTTATTAAAGTTTCATCAGCTCCGTTATTAAAGTTTCATCAGCCAGTTGAAAGAGAAGTTTGGGTGATTTCCCCGCCTTTGATGAGGCTCTCACTTGCTCTCTCCTACTAAATAATTCCACGACATGAGGATACCCCTGTAATTGTTAATACTGGAGCACATCACTGCCTGGGGTCACCACACCTTTCACTGAGCCCACTGAACACCACCCATCCCAGCAGGAGGATCCCCCAGCTCAGCCTGCCCCATAGGCTGCCTTGGGATGGTTCTTCTCAGGAGCTGGGCACTTCTTCAGCCATTGGCAGGGGCAGGAAAGCAGCTCTTTGCAGAAACCAATCCCATTTCACTGGGAGAATTTCCAGTAAGTGTGTTTTTTAGAAACACACTTATTGACTGTTTACTCGAGTTTCAAGAAGCAAATGCCTTACAAATAGGAGTAAAAAACTCTCATCTGGATAATCTTGAGCGGGACAAAATTATGACCAGTGGCTTTTTCTCCAAATCTGTTTTTGCCAAGGCACACTCCATCCTGAGCAGCAGCACAGCAGCTGTCTGTGAACAACAAAACCCACATTGATGCTCTTTTCCAACCTTCATTCCCAGTGCTCTACAGCAGCAGTAGGGAAAGACACACGAGGTGGGCAGCACATCTTGGTGTGCAGCTACTGGAGAAGCAGCTGAACAAGCAGTGAGGGTTCTCAGATAACATACTAAAGGGGGTGCAGTGCAGAAATGCAGTGAACATGTCTGATCTCCAAACTCTGCCTGCATACATGAGATCCCAGATGTTGCCATCTGTGTAGAAAAGGCTCTACAGGCACAAATATGGAAGTTTCTGTTGTACCTTTCCTTTATTACAGCACAGCATCATTTAAGTAAACTTTCTACTTGCATCCAGAAGATCCATTTTCACACGGCAGATCCATGCTTGTCAGCTTCACAACAAATCCTGATTACATTCTTTCAGTCTGCTTCTTCAGTTCTGCCTACAGGAAAACATTTTCCCCCCCTCCAAAAAAACCACGAGTGTCTCCCAAAAGACCCAAATGAAAGAAAGAAAAGGAAAAAAATCAAACAGGTTTTACAAAGCCCTTCTACAAAGTTAAAGGAACTTTTGGGGTGTCTTGATGAAGAATTAACTTTCTTTAAAGGAAACCTTTCTGACACAAATGGAGTTCCACTTCCAAGTGCTGATCTGCCTCTTCCCATAGAAGCAGACACCAAACATGACCACGCAACGCCCAACTTATATCAAAGCTTTCCTTTCACCAGCAGTTCCCTTTCAACACTACCCAAATGACATGTGGTAGTTTAGGAAAAGGATCCCAAAACTCAGCTGTCAAAGTGCTGAGGAGCATCCTAAGGGATTTACAATACTTCCCGTGTCTGCTTAAGGTAGTAAATATTTGGAAGGCTCTCAATGCACACACATATTATGAAGCCTGTATGAAAATAAAAACCAATTAAACTGAGGTTGATTAAATACTTTCAATGGAGATCCAGTGAAGCTAGTAACACAGAAGCCTTAATCATCACCTACAGAGGGCTGTATACCAACAGTTTTCTTGCTTGTTTTCAACTTCTATTCATAAAATAAATATCGACCTGTACCAGCATTGTTATCTCTAGATGACCTTTAAGATCTCTTCCAACCCAAGCCATTCTGAGGCTCAAGCTGGTTTCCCCTCACGCCAGCCCTGGCCTCAGGATCCCCGCTGGTTTCTGGGCACCATTACCACTGCACAGCCCATCCACGACTCAGTGTGCCACATCCAGGCACTGCACAATCCCAGCTGCTACTTAAAATAAAAAATGAAGTCTATCATTTGTGATCACAAAGGCACTTTGGAACTGTTTGCTGAATCACAACTGATGCTGTTTAAACCAGCTGAAGGCAGAGGGAGGGTTTATTACCAGACAGTAACACTGACAGTGGATCTCTCAGGTCTAGTCCACCAGCTTGGGACCCATTCTGCAGCATAGTGTTGCCACTTATTGCACCAGCCTGCAATAAATCTTGACACACAGCACAGATGTCACAGGATGCTCCTCGGTCAGCTCCTGCTGCTGGGCCAGGGCAGCAGGCAAGTGCTGGAGCACAGCCCTGGGACTGACAAACCTGGCTGCAGGCAGCACAGCACTCCAGCACCAGCCAGCACAGAGCACTCATCACCACCTCTAAAGGTGTACGGAAAGGCAGTCCAGAAGAACGAAGCATTTGAAGGGTGAATTTATTGTTTACTATCCCCTATTCCCTTTCCCTTCCGTCTGTAGAGTCTTTAAGAGGAACAAAACAAAGACTTTTATGTGACAGTTCTTTATTAAACTTATTAGGCTGTTATCAGTATTAAAACTGACAGCTGTCTCTTGATAGGAAAAGAGAAGAATGTAGTTGAAATGAGCTACAGTGACTGCTGCTGTCTGATCACCCCTCCCCGAAGATGAGCCATAAAAAGGAGGGAACAGGATAACAACAGCCTGATTTCTGCCTTAGATTCATTCCTCCCAGAGTCCTGGGCTCCTGGATATTACAGCACTGCTTTCTCAGCACCTTCCTAGCCCCGGCCAGCTACACAAGGTGTGTGTTAAAGCACGAGGGAAGAATAGAGCAGGGCAAAAGTTGCAACTCACATGAGCCATTGCAGGGCTGCACACAAGCCGGTTGCAAGCTGCTCCAGCCACAGCCCTAGAAACTCTGTGCATCGTCTGGGAAACCACTGGGTGCACAGAGAAGTACAGGGCTGAAAAGGGGGAGGATGGAAAATCCCCAGGTTTAGTAAGGCTGAGGTATACCGACCAGAAAGACTGGAACATTTTCTTGTGGAGGAAGGCTGAAAACCTGGCAGAAGGAATCATACAGAATCACAGAATGTCTTGGGTTGGAAAGGACCTCAAGGATCACGAAGCTCCAACCCTTCACCATGTGCAGGGCCACCAACCTCCACATTTCATAGCAGCCCAGGCTGCCCAGGGCCCCATCCAACCTGGCCTTGAACACCTCCAGGGATGGACGGGGCATCACAGCCTCTCTGGGCAGCTGTTCCAGCACCTCTCCAGTCTCTCTGTAAAGAACTTAAGGAAACCAAGCAGAGACTTTGCTCCAGCTGAAAACCTTATGCATTTGCAGAGAAGGAAATGGGAAGCATTACCTATACTGAGCCCACTGCTTCATATCAGCATGCTGTTTGAGCATCTAATCAGCCATATCACTCAGTGTGGGCACTGCAGAAGACTTAGCTGGCCACTTCCAACAGAACACCAACTTCCCTCATCAGCAAAGCACATTCTGGAACTAATAGGTTTGAGACCTGAAGATGGAGCCACGGCTACTTCTTGGCTAATTCTCTGCTGTCACTTCTTCACATGCCAGCACTCACTGAACAGCACTTTGTAAGTGCACCAGTCCACCTGCAGGGCAGCACTGCCCCACCGTGTGGTGGCCCTGAGGCCACTCATGATTTTAACATTAGTTTCAGGTGCTTCTTGCAAGGAACTCGGTTGTTTTTTCTGTCAAGCACAAACGCTTGGAAGACCTGCAACACATGCATTTATCACACCTGCATTTACACTTGCAGAATTCAGATCCAGGAGAACCTGCTGGCTCTGCTGTCTGAACTGCACGTGGTTTGGAATTTCAGGTGCTGAGCAACTAGAAGCAGTACTTATCAATCAATAACACGAGGCAATGGGTTGACTTAAATAGTGCATTTATCCTAATACAAAGAAAAACATATTGATTTTCCCATCTTCTGAAGCCAAAAGGGAGGGGGAAAAAAAAGTGTACAGCCTCTTATGTCTGTAACCTGGTATTGCATGTCTGCCAGTAAAAGAACCACTGACTGCTCATTTCTATGCCCACGTGCAATAAATAACAATACAAAAACCAACCAAAACAGGCACTGCAAATCACTGAGAGGGATGAGTTTCTCTATAATGGTCTCAGGACCAAGCAGGACAATATTACAGAGTAAGTTGGAACAACAAGCTTTTTCAATAGGCGTATTGTAATGCAACCTCATTTATATTATCAAAGTGAAAATTGACTGGTCTTAACTGGAGCTGAAGGGTAGATAAAACAGAGAGCAACTAAAAGCACGGGCTTAACGAACAAAGCCAAAACTTCAGGAAGGCTGCAACTAAAGTCAAGTATTCCCAAAGATTTCACTGTGTGCTCCTCCCTGAAGTGCCTGAACTAAGAGAGCTGCGTGACATCGCAGGGTTGATCGGGTTCCCGCAGGGCTGCTCTTGTGTTACAGACTGGAAACTAGCACACGGCCATTAAATACAAAAGCATCCCATCTGAGGTGCCCCGAAGCTATCTGCTTGTATCCACAGAAGTAGAGCTTGCGCTCAGTGCTTCCCAGCTGTTTGGAGAGGATTTGTGAGTGCAGAGGCAGGAACCACCTCGGCAGCCCCCCACACATCTTCCGTTCTCCAACTCTCCTTCATTCTGACTTCCACAATTTTGGGTCTTCGCTTCCTCCACTGTTATCATTCTGCCACCAACACCTTCACCTCCAGCCTCAGCTCCAGCTCCTGCCAGCTCCCCCATTCCTTGGTATCCAAGTTAGAGTACCAGGGGGATACAACGGCCCATCGGAGGGCTACAGCTTTTCTCCCCTTGGTACAACCAAGCTCCTTTCTGCAGGCCACCAACCCCACTGGGACGCAAAACAGAATGCCACAAGGCAGGCAGTGTGTGCTTCACATAACCCAGAGCTGTGCCAGCAGCTGCTTCTCCCCATGGGAAGCTCGGTGTTGAAGCCTGAGCTGCTCGGTGCAAAGCAGTTCCAAAAACACGAATCACTCAGGAGCACCAAGCTGCAGTGCTTTCAGGAAGGCTTCCAGCAGCTCCCCCAGCAGGGCAGTGCCAGACAACACAGCTAACGTGAGCACGTCTGACTTGGGTCCAAATGAGCCACAGCTCCAACCATGTGGCACCGCACAATGCGGCAGACAGAAACCTTGATGCTTCCTCTGCACAAATACTCAAGCACTGCCTTCTTCCAATAGACATAAAACAACTCCCACCATTTCTAGGTGGGAAAACAAAATGCCATTATTCACTTTGAATACCCAAAATTCCAAGTACATAAATTCATGCTCTGTAATGTACTGGAGAATAACAGCAGAATCCTTTCCTTATGGAAAACACAGCTCCTAGTAGTTGGTACCTGTACTCACAGCTGCAAAATTATGTGCATTATCATTCACCAAATGTCAGTGCTTCACATTCCTTTATCTTTGTAACACTGCTGATAAATTGAGGAAACAATTATATCATTACCGATAACTGCAGAAGGCAAACCTGCCTGTGAGATGGGCTTTCAGAATGAACACAGCCACGCAGCCTGCTAAAAGCTTATTAACTTCTCAGTTTAAGCCACTTACCTGAGCAATTTGCTCTCTGTATTTTTAGTCACTTCTCATATTAACCATAAAAATTATACACTAAATACTTCAAGTGCTACTATAATGCTTCCTAGGAACTTTACGTATGTTTGGAAGCAGCTTCTCCTCCAGGCTGCAGTGCATGGATACTATAATTTCCCATTCTTGCAACAGTGTCATAAATGTACAGGTTTGATTTCATGAGCCCTGGAGCTCACAATGCCATGCTGGGCTGCACACAGCCATCAGCACAGAAGGTGGTGGGAAAACAGTCAAGAGATGAAAGGAGGGAGAAGGCAGAGCCTAAGATGTGTTAACAGGTTGCCCAAGGAGGCTGTGGATGCCCCATCCCTGCAGGCATCCAAGGCCAGGCTGGATGTGGCTCTGGGCAGCGTGGGCTGCTGGTTGGTGACCTGCACACAGCAGGGGTTGGAGCTGGATGAGCATTGTGCTCCTTTGCAACCCAATGTGATTCTATGATAAGACAAACAGTGCAGCAGCGCTGCATGCCAAGTGCTGACTGAAAGGTAGGCAGAAGCAGACAGGCTTCAGAGCAGGGAAAGTCATCATTCAGTATAACTCTACCAGAAACCCTGCTCAGCAAGACATTCCAAAGGAAGAAAATGGATCAGCACCGGTTTGATCCATCTCAAGCTCTCTTGACACAACAGCCCTGACTGCACACATACTGTTCACTGGAAGCAAACCCTCCACAGACAATGTAGCTCCCTCAGGATCACCCACGTGCAACCCGCTGCCTTGCCTGGCCAGCTCTTCTAATCCACCACCAGGTAGACTCTCTCTGTATGTTTGACATGTCATGTAAGTACTTTAAACTCTCCACAATCACTGCATCATCAGCTGACAGCTCAGGACAGAGCTCTCCCCGTGCTCAGCAGAAAGATGCACACAAACCATCGTGTAAACCCAAGCCAGCTCAGCAACTACCAGGCTACCAACCCTCCTGCCATGCATGCGGCTCTGCAGAACTCCTCCTTCACCATTGCATTTGTTATTAAAAACACACTTTGAACGATGCAACGCAACTCAAATATTCCCTGTGCGACAACAGAACAGATTTTCAAGCTGTGGCACTCTTATTTATGACCACTGTCATTCCCAGCACAGAGACACTGCACTACAGCAGAGCATTGCTCCATGCTGGCAAGAGCAGAGCACAGCTTTCCATAAAGGACTGCTAGAAGCATCCCAGCACAGAGCTGATCTGCGCTGTTCAACGTGCTTCCATTCTCAGCAATATTCATTGCTCATTAATCAATCTGGCAAAGCAACCAAAGCACTCATCTCTTCCAGCACCCTCTCTGTCTTACTGCAAAAACACAGAACTGCCTGCATGCTGCCCAGCTTCCAAATACAGCAGTGCCCACAGGAACCCACAGAGGAATATTACCTGACATCTAAGGAACACAGGAGCAGAGACAGCAAGCCATTAAGAATACCCCAATTCTGAATTTCAGAATCTAAGTCAGTGCCTTAAGTACCAACAGCCTTTTACTCCCCAACCTCCTCTGTGAGACAGCTGCTGTCTCAGATTAACACTGTGACACAGAAGCAGAGATTGGGCTCTAGAGCAACAGAATTCCAAGTATAAATCCTAGCTTTTCTATTAGCTGCTGTGTTCTGCAGATTAATGTCATTCATTTCATAAACACCACTGTGCACAACTGAGTTCTAATGAGATGACCAGTCAGTTACTGTCCTCTGCTGATAGCTGTTTATGGAAACCACATCTCACTCCAAAAATTCACAGCAAATAGGAGAATCCTGCATGAACTGCATTGGTCTTTTTTCGTTGGTTGGTTGAAAACAAACCCAGAACCTTGGGGCTTCCCATCATTCTGGAAGCAGACAGCCAGTTACAGAATTTTCTGTTGCAATCTCCTTTGATTAATACATTCTCGTAGTACTTTAGAAGTAATTTAGGGGATGAAGAGCTCTCTGCCATCAAGGTCCCAGATCAGTCGGGAGAGTTTCAGATGAACGGAATGAAACCCTTACTTCAGGAAATGGCTCATTCCTCTCCTGAGCTGCATGAATGGCGGTAAATACTCAATTATTCACTAACCTGGCATCAGTGGAGGTGCCAGCACCACTGTGGGAAGAGGCCTGGAGGCAGGAGCTGGCCTGGCAATAGCCATTGCCACTTGATTTGTCATTAGCAGAGGCTTCTCGTTGCCCTGGAAGAGACGCGGTTCCTCAGGATGCAGCCACGCCGAATCCAGAGCAAATGCATTATTTAGGTATATCTGTCCAACACAAGCAAAAGAACATTAAGGCTGGAGAGACTTTATTCTCCCTTCCATCTCTGAGCTTTTGTTTTTGTCTTTAGCTTGTTATTACTGCGTGGGTAGGATCTCAACATGGGGACAAACACCAGAACAGACTGACTGCTGTTCTGTACGTGAGGACAGCACTCAGCTGGTCGCTCCAAACCCAGACAGCCCTGAACACAAGTCAGCTAAAGCAGCATCACCAAAAGAAAACGAGTGCTGGAGCCAACAGTGCCTCCACCACAGCTTCAGCAGCACAACCCCATCAGCAGCTCACAGACTGCAACCTCCTCTGGCATTTTATCCTTTGCAAAACTTCACGGAACCAAAGATACAACACAACTGGAGCAGCCTTCTGCACACATCAACCCCACAATATTTCTTCGCCATGCTGTTTCACTGGACAAACTACTGCCCTCCTGCATGCAGCCACAGTTTACAAAACCAGAAATATTTCTCAGCTACTACAGTTTATGAGCATCAACATTAAACATGACCAGACTTACTTTGCAGCTCGGCAGCCTTTTATCTATCCAGTTCTTCCCAGTGTGAGGTGGAACAGCAGATGTGTACACGGGGGGGGAAAACAGGCACAAATTCCACACCAGATGATGGTGAAAATCCAACGACTGGAGAATGAGCTCCAAATATCCACTGCGGGGGCAAAAATAAAAATAAAAAGGCAGGAAGTTAACAGAAGGGTTTTGCCCCGAGCAAGTCAATGCTTCCATCATCTCCCAGCCGCCTCCGGGGTGACTGCATTGAATTTCAAGTCCAACGCACGTTCGTGCTGCCCGGCCGTGGCTCAGGGAAGGATGTGGTGCTGCCCGCCTGCGACGGAGCCCCGTGTACAGAACAGCAGAGGCGGCTTTAGCGGTCACCCCCAGGAGAGAAGGACCAAAGGAAAAGCAGGCAGCGTATTTCTTGCGGAGGGGCTCACACGGAGCTCAGCCCCCGCCTGCCGCTGCCGGGACCCCGCCGCACACCGACTGCCGCTTTGCTTCGCACTTTCGTTCCAACGTTACGAAGGGAGCGGTGCAGCTACCGGCACTGCTGTCGCTCCGCCTGCTGTAGCAGGGCAACTACTGCAGCTAAAGCGCGATCAGAAGCGCAGTCCCGATTATTCCCAGTGCGGCAGCGAGAAATAATCGAAACCCCGTCGGGCAGGGCTGAGCTCGGCGGCACGGCGGGGAACTCGGGAGCGGAACGAGCCCCTGGGTGCGGGGAGCTGCGCTCGTATTGCTGCGCGTCCTCCTCGCTCATCTCTTACGGAACTCACCGCACGCGAACGGCGCCTACGGCCCGACAGCAGAAACCCACAGAGCCCGAAAGGCGAAAAGAAAAAAAAAAAAAGCACCACAGCCACAAACCCAAACAAACAAAATAAGAGCATTGCGGGTTTCCCACCCGCCGGAAAATCCCCGTGCCCGGGGCTCGAAGAACCTCTAGCGGCCGCTGCCCGGCACGGCACGGCACCCACACGGGCATCGGTCGGAGGCACCGCGCAGCCCCGAGCGGCCCCAGCGCCCGGCGAGGATCGGCACGGAGCCGTTACCTGCCCGTGGAGCGGCGGGGGATGCTCGGCGAGCAGCGGCAGCAGCGGCTCGCAGGGAACGGGCCAACCCACGGCCGGAGCCGAGAGCAGCAGCGGCGGGGGCGCCGCGCCGACCCTCAGGAGCCCCGGCACGGCCCACGCCCAGGGGGGCTCGGCGGGCCACAGCAGGGGCGGCGGCCGCTTGGCTGCGGGAGCCGGCAGCATCCTACATGGCACGGGGCTGCGCCGTGCCCGCCGCCCAGTGAAACTCCGCTCCGCGCCGGCAGCCGACGGCGGCTCAGGCACCGCCCCGCCGAGAGGCACCGCCCGAGCAGGGAGGAGTGGGGCGGAACCGCGACGCGGAGCTTCGAGGCTGTGCGGGGGGAGCCGCGATGTGGCGGTTCGGGGCAGCTTGGAGGTGGGGAGGGCAGTCCTCACACCGAGCCTGAAGCGAGATTTCCGCTGCGCGAGTCCGCGGAACGGCTTTTTGACACGCAACCGTGCAAAACGCATCGCAGGTTTTGGCTTTAAAGGCGATGTTACACGAAGGTGTGCTCGCTGTGGGTCTCTGTTGCTACGCGGCCACCGCTGCCTCCCTGCCGGCAGGGCTCCTGCTGTGGGCTGCGGAGGAATAACGCTCTCCTGCCTTCATTAGCAATAAAACCCTCACCTGCAGCCTGCAGGAACACAACCCGTTACTGTCACTGCTGGTGGCAAAAGATATTTGGGAAGGCCAGGCGTGCTGCAGGCATGCCTCTGTGGCACTGTCCAGAGGGTCGGGGTGATCCCACCACACCACATCACACCCCACCTGCTACGTTCTCCACTTCTGCCCCAACGTGGAAGAACACAAACTAGGCAGACTTTAGGAAAGCCTGTGGCAGTGCCTCCCTTGGGACCCCCCCGCAGAAGCTGCAGCCCACACCTGGGGCAGCCGTGCCCATGATGAGCAAGGCTCCATCCAGCTGGCCACAATGGGACAATGCCAGCATTATGCAGACGTCCATAGGCAAATTGCAAGCTTCTTCAAACAATATGGAAGAAAGTTAAAGGCCTTAAAAACCAATTTTTCATAGGATGATAGAATGGCTTGGGTCAGAAGGGATCTTAAAGATCATCCACTTCAACCCCCCTGCCTCTAATCTGATTCGGTGCACTGGGGGATCGTGTCTCTCATGGCTGTGAATGACCTCAGTAAAGTTAATTCCTAAGTTCTGAAGCCAAATTATTGGGATGTGTGGTTAAACACAACGTTTGGGGAAACGCATTGCTCACAGTCCCCCTCAGAGAAATCTGGGAAGTGCTGATTTGAGTATAAAGTGACAGAAATCAGATAAGAGAAATGCATTTCCAAATGTTTTAGTGCTGGGTAATTTTATTTTATTTTTTAAAAAGACAAAAATCTTGTCGTGGTAATTGAAACTGAACAGAAAAACAGAAATGTAATGACAGAAAAAACAGTTGTTTCCTATGAAACGCAATAATCTTAGAGTAGAATCTGTCTTAAATGGAGCAGTTCATCTACAAAATACCCAACATAACAGCAAACTGTGCCATATTTGTCATAGCTGCCAAGGATTGGAAATCTGGAGGAGAATTTGCAGGCTCTGAGTGGCTCTTTATACCCATTGCCCTCTTTGCATTCAGAGCAGCTCCCTCCATGTGTGGGTACAGCCCTATCCAACAGGCTGCAGCAGGGTTCCCAATCAAGCAGGAGCACCCACTACATGTTCTTCTCATAGTAAAGATCTTTCCTATGAGAGTGGTGAGGTGCTGGAGCAGCTGCCCAGAGAGGCTGTGATGCCCCGTCCATCCCTGGAGGTGTTCAAGGCCAGGTTGGATGGGGCCCTGGGCAGCCTGGGCTGCTGTGAAATGTGGAGGTTGGTGGCCCTGCATGTGCTGGGGGGCTTGGAGCTTCGTGATCCTTGAGGTCCCTTCCAACCTTGGCCATTCGGTGATTCTGTGCCTGGGCAGAGCCAGCTGGGTGCAGCTGCTGCTCGTGTTCTTCCCAATGCACACACAGGTGCCCTTTTTCACGTGGAAAATTGAGCAAATTTACTTACTGGTGATGGGAGGGAGGGCAGTCTTCCTAAGGACTTCACTAACAAGAGTTGGGAAAGGTTGTACAGGTAATGTGATTTCAGGAAGCCCGAGCACACTCATGTCAGTCAAAGCTGGAGAGATCCTGATGAGAGACGTTCCATCACATGGCTAAATGCACACTCACACTAACAGCTGCTTTTTCTCTTCGACTTCCTTATCTTACAGGTTAAAAAATGATTAAAGCGTTGCTCTGGTGCTGCCTGGAGCTCGGGAAACCTTTGAGCATCTCCCCATCCGCACAAACGGCAGTGTTGTGTCGGGACCCCGCACCAGGAGCTCAGCCTCCCCCGTTAGGCTGTGGATGTAGCCGTGCTGTGCTCTGCTTTTCCTGGCCAGACCAGCGAGCGGCAGTGATGCTGAGTTGGGTTTAAGCAGCGAGGGATGCAGCGAAGCGCCCAGAAGCAGCGTTGGGGCGGTGAAGCACCGCAGAGCTCCGGCACAGCAACCACGGCTTATTTAACGCTGTGTGACAAATGGGAGAATCAGAAGGAAAAAAAGCCATCAGGGAAAGAAGCGTCTGGAGCGTAACTTTTTTTTGACTCGTAATTTCAGTTTAGAAGTGCTCTGGGGGGCTGTGGGAGCGCTCCGGGCAGTCAATCACCCACACCTGGTGCACACATTACTCCCTGAATACCCTCAAGTGTACTTCGGATAGCCCCAGAGTCAATTTAGCCCTAAAACAAAAGGTTGAGGTCCATCATCTTCATTTGTAAGTCCAGAAAAATGGGTCTGTAACATCCAAAAAGGGACTCCCTTCATTAACATCTAAACTGCAGACGTTTCCTACCGAGGATGTTATTAACTGCCCTTTCTGCTGGGTTCTCTCGATGGGAAATGGACGATACTGGGTAACGACCGACCATTCTTACGGTAATGCATCCTGCTCCTCTACAGGACGGGATCTAAATCTCCTCGCCGGCACAGCGGCCATCAGAGGCTCAAACATCGGTGGCTGTAATGAACAGAAGCAGAGCTCTGCCTGCAGGTGTTCTGTGCAGCTCCCAGCACAGAGCTGCGCAGGCACGTAGATGTGAGCCTGCCTGCAGAGATTCGCACTGCCCAGTCCCAGCAGAACCGCGTGCTTCCGCAGTTGCCTAACAAACAAACTCCTCCCTGCTTCCCAAATGCTGTCTGAGGCTCCCTGCTATCTTTGCCAGCGCCTGCCTCCCAAGTTAACCTGCTCGCTTCACGCCGTGCGGAGGGGTTGGAGAGAGCAGAAGGAATCTCAGCTGCCATCTCTGCTACCTGGAGCTGTCTGAAGAGCAAGCACGAACATAAGCAGCTTTTTCTTCTCAGGTACTAAACCACCCGATTCATTGCTCTGCAGCTCTACAGCAATCAGGAGCCCCATCTCAGGAGCTCTTATGTCTTCCAAGCAGAGCTGCCAAAGCATCCAGCCAAACAAATGACCCAGCTGGTGATTTCTCTGTTGAGGTTTCTTATAACGACGAGGATTAATCGTCCTTCCCTGGGGTTAATCCCTACCTGCTGCATCAGTCGTTTGTTTCAACAGTGATAAACAGCAAACCCATCAGAAATGGATCAAATAAACCCACAATGCACTTAATTGTGTGATAACTTGCTATGATGGGAAATGAGCTCTGACTCCAACTAACCATAGAATCATAGAATGGCCTGGGTTGCAAAGGAGCACAGTGCTCATTCAGTTCCATCCCCCTGCTGTGTGCAGGTCACCAACCAGCAGCCCACGCTGCCCAGAGCCACATCCAGCCTGGCATTGAATGCCTGCAGGGATGGGGCATCCACAGCCTCCTTGGGCAGCCATCAGCTTTCAACCTGTAGCACAAGGATTGATTGTCCCTACAACTTTCACTCTACGTAGCAGAGCCACAAATGTAATTTTTATCCCTGGATGCAGCTCACCTAAAGCTCTGACCAATCCCTTTTGGAAATGATGACTACCAAACTGTAGTCCCTCTGTATGGAGAGGGATTAACCCCAGATCATAGAATGAATCATAGAAAGGCCTGGGCTGAAAAGGACCACAATGATCATCTAGTTCCAATCGCCTCCTTTGTGCAGGGTCGATGCCTGAAGCAGTCATGTTTTCATGATTTAGCTGCTGATGCCCACGGGAAGGTAGGGGAAAGTACACAGTACATGAGAGTGGTGAGTGGTAGAACAGCTGCCATGGCTCCTCAGGGCACAGCTCTGTTCTCTGCTGAACATGTTCCTCAAGGCAGACACATCAAATGGAAAATCCTGAAGTGACCTTTTGTTTCTATTCCTGTAATGTGAAATAACCTCCTACTCATTTTTTGCCGAATCCCATTGATTTCCATCTCCAGTGCATCGAGCCCTGTTTCAAACCCATTAAGAAAAATCTCAGAAATTGGAGTCATATGGAAAAAAAAAAGGACCTTTGGTGCAATAAAAGCCACTGCAGCAAAGCCATTCCTTGTGCCTTGGGGCCATGATGGGAGTCACCCTGAGATCCCAGATCCACCCAGACCTGCATCTCCCAGCCCTCCTGCTTACAAGGGTGGATAGTGATAGAAAAGGGGGAATGGTTTTAAACTGAGACAGGGAGGCTTAGGTTGGATATGAGGAGGAAGTTTTTCAGCCAGAGGGTGGTGAGGCACTGGCACAGGTTGCCCAAGGAGGCTGTGGATGCCCCATCCCTGCAGGCATTCAAGGCCAGGCTGGATGTGGCTCTGGGCAGCCTGGGCTGCTGGTTGGTGACCTGCACACAGCAGGGGGTTGGAACTGGATGAGCACTGTGCTCCTTTGCAACCCAGCAAATTCTATGGTTCTATGATTCTGCAGGAGACTGAGTGGAGGTGCACAGCAGCAGACCAGCAGCTGGCCATTGGGCTGACACTGCTGAGCA